CATCTACCTATGAAAATCTCCAAATTGTCTCAAAGACACAAATTCTCAATTAGTGGGCCACACTTACCCATTAATTTCCAATTTGTCCTCATGGGTCATCTACCCATGAAAATTTCAAATCCAATTCTCAATTAGTGGGCCACACTTACCCATTAATTTCCATTTTTCCCTATGGGTCATCTACCCATGAAAATTCCAATGGGATTAAATTCAAATCTCTTAAACACAAATTCTCAATTAGTGGGCCACACTTACCCATTAATTTCCAAATTTTAGAACTATGCCGGTTTGATCTCATCAAGGGTACGTAGGCAATCTACCATACTAATAGACGCAACCACAACCAAATTTGAATCCTTGGTTTATTCTAACCAAATTTGCCAAATCTCTCAAACATAAATTCTCAATTAGTGGGCCATACTTACCCATTAACTTCTGTGGGGGTCTTTTTGTTCCAGCAGCCTAACGAATGGGCTTGGGCTACTGTGAGAAGAAAGCGAACAAAAAGATCCTCCTGAAGCCTGAGTTCAAGAACCAGACTCCCAAAAGAATTTTTTAAAAAAGACTTGTTGAAGCCTTAGAAAAAAAATACGTTTGGGTTCTTTTCACCAACACTCAGAAGAACGCATGAAATTCATTAATGACTTAGCGTGAGGAGCTTATGGCATGGGAGCTGAGCTTTCACAGGTTTAGCAATGAGAGAGAGAGAGAGACCAAAGCATGAATTTCTTGCAGAGAAACAGGTTTTAGAGTGGGAGAGGGGAGAATTAGGATGGCTTCTATCTTAGAACAGAGAGAAACGTTGGGAGTAGAAGATGGGAAAATTCCAGTTCGCTTGACAAAGCTTGGTCTTGCTCTGGAATGGTGTGTGTTGTTGGGTAGAAGAAGCTCTGTTTTATAGGCGTTTGGAATCCTAATTCCGTCGATCATCCATTCCTACTTTTCCTTTCCCTTTCTCCGATTACTCCCTTTCTTGTGCAAAATCATTGACCAGAGCGCCTGAATCAATGGCTTCTTGTGGTTCCAAGGCTTTGTGCGGCTGAGCCTCTCCATGGGGGTAAGGCGCCACTTGCTTTCTCCCTTGGTTTTCAAATCATAGCTTACAAAGGAAAACTGAGAACAGAGGAAGTTGTTTGTCCACTGGGTATTTCTCCTACACTTATGGATTTCCTATGGTCCTTGCTGTGATTCTGGGTTGACCACATGGGAGCTCTGGTATGGGTGGAGCTCGATGTTGGATTTTCTAAGAGACGCTGGGCTGGGCTTCGAGTACAGTTTTGAGGTTATTGGTGTTTTCCCTTCCAACGGCCCGCACGCTTTCATCCAGCTGCTGGAAGTGGTTTTACTCGTTCTTGGGCATTCTAACTGTTATGGACTTCCCTAAATGCTACAGCAGCCTATGGGATGTTCTCCTAAGGCTTTGGACCCCATTCTTCTCTCTCTCATGCTAACCCATGTATTTGGGCCCGAGGAATGGGCCTGAGTTTTAGTGCTCCCAAGTAGCCTAAAGCTTCCATCCCTCGGTCCCTCAATGGGCCCTGTGAGTGCTTGTACCCATCCATGCCACAACATTCTCAGCAAGCCCCGGGTGATTACGTGGCTTGGGCCCACTTGAGCTTGTAGCATGGCGTGATGGCATCGCATGTTTATTCGGTGTGCTTGTGCTTGATTTTAATTGTGCTATAATAAGCCGAGCTCGAATTAAATAACACCGGATAGGTTCATGAGCGTGAACTTATATAGCCGTTGCGTTTTTGGCATGCTTGCTTGGCGTGATGTGTGACCCGTGGCTCGTGTAGGGGTCCTACAATTCCCTATTATGCCCCGGTCGAGGTTCTTTTGTAATTAATTATTTGCACCGGGCTGACAATAAGCTTGGGCCTAACCCCTGGATTTTTGGGCCTCAACAACTTCCAATTTGTCCTCATGGGTCATCTACCCATGGAAATATCAAAATCTCCAAACTGTCTCAAAGACACAAATTCTTAGTTAGTGGGCCACACTTACCCATTAATTTCCAAATCAACTCCGAACTACGTTGGTTTAATCCCTTCAAAAAGGTACGTAGGCAATCTAGAGATTCAATCTAGATGCAACCGCCCAAATCTCAAATCCAAACAGAATCCTTGGTTATTATTAACCAAATTCACCCCAAACACACATCAAAATCGAATCCCTAGTTTATTCAGCTAAATTCACTCAAACACTTTCTCAATCAAATTCATACAAATCTTTTCTTTTGTAATGAGTCATTCATTCATTGCAATTCTTTGAACTACGAGTGGCTTGATTCTTGCAAGGGATACGTAGGCACCCTGAGGTTCGACTTAGGGGCAGCCGCAAAACCAAACGTACACGTTCTGTTTCTTTATGATGGAATCAAAGGGTTTTCCCTTGAAGCAAGGGATTGTAATTAAGAGACTTGCGTCTCGAATGGATCGAACCTAAAATAATAAAACCCCATTATTTAATTAGTGGTGGTGAAATTGTGTTGGGAGGTTCACATTTATCCTTAACACACACTCTGACTTAATATATCACTGACTATACCATAAAACCTTTAATTTCCAGGTTTTAACACGATTTCTTATGTTATCAGCACTTACTTCAATATCAAATTGTGTAGACAATATGGCAGCAGTGGTGTTATAAGCAACTGCTTTCCAACCACCATCTCCTTTGTGACCAATCTGACGTTCTTCTCTAAGTATATCCGCTAATGAACGCTCCATTTGTATATTCCATCGAAAATAGGCTTTGTCATCTCCTTCATTGTCATTACTTTGCCTGTCTTTTCTTCTCCTTTGCTTTATTTTGTTTACTTTTTCTGCCATCTTATGTATTTAAAATGATTATAACAACAATATTAATAAATATGATCAACATATATTTGCATCAAAAAATGATCAATATATATAACAAAATAGACACATAAAGCTGAATAATAAGAAAAAACAATGAATAAAGAAGAGTACATTTATTAAAACTAATAACAAAAACATGATTCAAATGTTTACAATTCCATACATAAATTTAACTAGAGACAGTTCCAACTCAATTAATATATAATGACTGAAAATCATGAATGAGTGGCGCCTCGTGCTTGATAATAAGAAACATTTGCATTGCTAATGTGTTACGGAAAGTAGTCCATTGATCAGTGACTTGAACACTTGTAATCCTATTTGTGTTACCCTCTACTGTAGAATGATTTGATATCTCATGATCCACAGAAGCTAAAAACTCCAGATCTTGATCTTGTAACACCTGGTCATTGTGTTGCCCGATTCGAATGAAGTTATGCAACACAAAGCATGCATTTATAATCCTAGTTTTGGCGGGCAAAAGATAGGTTATCAATGAGATTTGGCGGGCATAAGATGAAAATTCCCTCTCTATTGGGATTTTAGATGTGGAATTCCCACGTATTTTCTGCGTGTAATTTGGCAAATCCTAAGTTGATTTTGCTAAACGCTAAATCTTGACTTTTATTAAAATCCTGAGTTATTTTACCAAATCCAAACACATTGTTGGGGTTATTGAAGGCAATTTCTTCATTTCCAAATTTCAATGATGCCCTCCTCTTAAATTGTGTGAATGACTTAGAAGGAGTAGCAATTTGTGTAATTTTGAAGTTTTTAAATTATATTATTGTAAAATTATATGATATAATTTAGTCATTGAACTTATCCCGATTAGGTGAACTTGGGTTATTATCTATCACAATAATAAACTCCCTATTGAGTTTAAACCAAAGCTCATATTTATGAGTTTTAAATCATTCTTATCGTTTTCTAGCATTAAATCCAAATTACATAGTGGCTAATTAATAAGTTTCTGAAACTTTGCAAGAAAAAATGTATGTATTTAATTAGATTGCATACAAGGAAAAGTGGGTTCATTCTTTAATTGGAAGAAATGCCCAATAGTGTCCATCATACTTAGAGGACATGATAGTGGTTAAGATTTTGAATGTTTTGAGTTCAAGATGCATTGAAGACGAAAAAGAATACAAATCAAAACATATTGGAATATAAGATATAAAAATAATATATTAGGAAATTCAATAAGAGGGTTTAAAAAAAAAAAAAAATCCAATTCAAAGATACACATCCAATTTCTTAAGGCCTCATGGTCATGGTTTTTCCAGTGAGGTCATCATTTCCTCAATTGCCTCTATGTTCTTCTCCACTGACAACCACAAGTCATTCAAATCAACATGACTCAATTTTTGCAACCAGTCAGCTGGAAGGCTCCCGTAAATGGCTTGTATCATCATTTCCTTCTCTTGGTTGTCATTCATCTGTTTCTTCAATTTCTCATCAGCTTTAAGTATCGTTTGCATAAGAAAACTTTCTCGGTTCAAGATGTTCCTACTCCTTTCCATCTTGGACATCTGCTTAAACCTTGTGATTGTTCGTAGGGCTCCATCAGGGCATGGACTAACATCAGGGTTAGCTTGATGTTGACCATAAATTACTGCACATGCATCAGTTCCACACAGAATACTGAGTTCACTTACCTTTTTCATCAGTCCGCTCTTCCTTTTCTTGAAGGTGGTTTTTCTTGCAACATCATTTTTTATGTATGCAAGGTCAATTTTCTTTCTTGTCATGAAGAGGAAGAGCTAGTGATTCTTGTAGGAAGAGATGGGGAGATTTGATGATTCTAAGGTGGCTCTGTTGTAGTTTCATTCTCCTTGAAGCAAAGCAAGGTATATATATATAGAGTTGACGATGTTTTAATTGTAAAGCCAGATAGATGTGCGTTGTTTGGACCATTTATGGTGTTGAAAAAATTATGGATGACTCATTTATGACGTACACATATATTTATTATGCATATTATAAACATATCTAGCTAGTATTGAGGTTCATTGGTCCAATTGGAATTTTTTTTCTTGATACAAGCGATAGTTTTATTTTAATTTAATCTAAATTACGGAAAGAGGGATTCAAACTCAGAGTGCAGAGTGGAGAGCACATCCACTCTAACCAACTCGGCTAAGGTCATGTCTATCTCGGACACTTATGTATATAGCATTGAGGTTCATTGGTCCAACGCATGAGGAAAATGTTCTGTTCGTCCTAATATTTTACTGTCCAGTCCAGTTATGTATTTTTGGCGTTCTTTCATGTCTCTTGGTAAAAGTAATTTCTAATATGGACATGCCCATGGACCTTCCAATCTCACTTAGGCCCAACCTCTTTTACAACGAAGGAAAGTTCTTGATTTGCTTTCTATTTTTCACTTTAGGCAAATTCTAAAAGGTTTCTCGTATTAGGAAACATTCTCATATTAAGAAAAGGAAAGTCGGGTAACAAAAAGGAAAGGGATTTTTCCTTTTTTTCTCTTTTTCTTTTTCTCCCTTTCCTTCTTTGCTGTTTATTGTCGTATATCCTTTTCCATGCAGCCTGATTTTATGCAACCATATCAGCCAAATTTTTGATGAATTAGGAAAAGAAAAGTTGGCTGATGACCGAAATCGAAAGTTTCTTTTCCCTTTTTGTTTCCTTCTTCTTCTTCACATTCCTACGTTATGCTTCTCAATTTTCCTAACAACTCTATTCTAACATAAAACTTTAATTTTTTTTTTAAAAAAAATAAGTAGCACATTTAGGGAAACATTAATACATGAGAATAAAGATACAACTATCATAACATTAAACATCAATATTACACAACACAGAACGATATTGTCTGAAATTAAATGAGAAGTCGAATTAATTCCTATAAGAAACAAATTAACATACATAGACAATATGCATGAACAACACAAAGCGCATGCTTATGAATGAATAATAGATTACAAATACTTAGATACAAATATAGAGAATGAATTATTGCAAAACAGGAAAAATTAAGACATTGGGTTGTAAGTTGGGGGACCTCCCGATGTCTTGTCAGAAGAACGAGCCTGATGAGCAGCGTTAGTAGTATTTTGAGGAGCATGAGCTACCATATGATGATCATGCGCAGCCTTTTCTCCAGCTCTAGCAAGGTCCCCAGCTTTCGCCACATGCAATGACATTGATGCCTCAGCCTCTTTAGCCAATCTCACCTCATGAGCTACGTCGGATCTCGCCTTGGCTATTTCTTTCTCAGCCTACAATGCATATATAATTAGAATCCACAAATAATTTAATAAAAAACATGTAGAGAGAGAGAGAGATTTTTTTTATATATTCGTATATACTAAGATTATGAGGGCGACATTTACCAACTACATGTTGTGGATCATATTTTAAGACCTATATGTATAAGTGATTTCATATTTTGTAGAGATGCGCGGTCGGTGATGTAACCCAGAAATATGATTCATGTGCATTACTCTTTAGTGTAGAGTGTTGTAAGATACATACCCTCTCTTCGGCCCTGGCCTCGGCCTTGACCTTGCGCAGGGCGCCCATTTCATTTATCTTGTCCTTCACAGCCTGCATCTTGCCTTTTCTCTTAACAACAACCTTGCAAAAATTTAATTAGTTCAACTACAGAATGCTCAAATGTACCATATATATAGAGATGTTTAGACGATCTAGCAGTGCAGGTGACCTCTCTCTCTCTCTCGATCTCAGTGTTGTGGATGTATAGTTGACACATGGCAAGCACGCATATGTTTACTATAAACTAATGGGTGATGTTGAGGAGACTTGAATCAAGTGCTCTAAATTCTAATCCCCAAATGCCAATTCAAGATCCGGTTTTTAAGTTGAATTCTTATAACATATAAGATTTCTAAATAAGGTCCTTCATTGATGTGTGTTTTTCAACTGGGGTTAATTCCATCAACAGCCCCCTTCAACTTTGGACTTAGTCTCGCCCGATTTCATAACCATATCTTTTATCTATGATCGAGGTCTTGTGTTCAAAATTCTCCTTTCTAATGTGACTTGTACTGAGAAAAAGAGAAAAATAAAATAAAAGAAAAAGAAATGTGCTATGGTTGAAACAGTCTTATTAGTAACCGCAAATCTTGTCTATTTTCAATTTCATCTCTAAAATTACAAATTGTGAATCACAATTACCTCATCGCATAAACAGCACAGTTTTAAGTACCAAAAGTTTTGCCGAAAGGATGTCAGATGATAAAAAACTTTGGGCTTGGACCCAAAAAAATAAAAAATAAAAAAGAGAATGTTTTACTCAGTACAGCTAAAACTAAATATTTAGATTCATGAGATGTTTACATTGAATTAAGAGGAATTGAATTGAGTAGGAGTTAGATTGAGGAGAATTAGATTCTGGATTCCTATTGAAGTTGTTTACTAAACCATATGGATTGAGGTGAGTTAGATGTCGAGTTCCTATTGACGTTGTTTACTAAATCATATGGAATTGGGGTATGAGTGATACTAATTACTAAAATGTTCTCATTATTGGGTTAAAGTATATAGCAAATTTTAAAATTATGTGAGAATATAATGGGTAAAAAAGATGAATTCCTAATGGGTTAGTTCTCCAAAAATTAGAGTACAACCTCCTACCTAAGAATTGATGGGTTAGTTCTCCTCAATCCAACTTGAATAGGATTCTGAGATTTCTCCTGGTAGGATGAGGAGCAATTTAACCGATGTTGGCCAGCTCGGGCAGTTCTAGATGCACTGATCCATTGAACAGAGTAATTGTCCAAAAATGAAGGAAACTGCTATTTACATTTGTTTGGCGTTAAATTTTCAACATAAAAATAAACCGCAAATGGTTCCCACCATGGTGGTGGTGGATTCCCCTTCCCCCCTTGACATCCAGGATCGTACTCCAGTGGAATTTCTTTCCTCCAATGTAACCACACACACAAAATAAAAAATAAAAAAAAGAGCACGCCAGAAAATGAGGGAAAAAAGAAATTGATTTTGTCACCAAATCGAAGCGGACGAGCTGTTCCAATTAAACAAAAGTTTGGCTTTGCTGGTGTCTTGATCAAATAAATCGCTGGCCGTATCCTCTGTTCGGGTAGCCCAGTCTACAACGACAGAAAGAGAAAGAGAAGAAGAGAGTGTGGCGGGTCTCGGTACCATCAACGACTAAATAAGACAGAGTTCTAAACCCACCACTACAGTCGCACGTCAAGAAGCCGAAAGGAATTCTGCGACAATCTTCTTACCTCAATAGCTCAAAGTTACAGCAAATATACACATGTTGTGTAAATTATATGTATTTAATATCCGTAATTTATGCGCACATATGCATATTTGCAGTGGGGTTTAGACCCCGCCAACTGAACAGTAAAGAAAGCCTAGACCACCACTTCGGCTGCCAACAAGAATTTGAGTGGTGCAAGTAATCTAATTCAAGCGAGATATGGCGTGTGGTCCACAGTTTATGGACTCCGCAGTTAAAGCCCAGCTAAGTGAAGCCATGGGATGATTGGGGTCAAAACCCAAATGTGAAGTGGACCAAACCCATCAAATGGTGTGCAAATCAATTCACCCAAGATCGGTTTCCACGCTTGATGGATTTGAGCCATCTCAAATTTCAACTATGTTGGTTTGATCCTGACAAGAGTACGTTGGCAGTCTAGCATCCCACTAGAGGCAACCGCAACCAAATTTGAATCCATTATTTAGCTTAACCAAATTCATCCTCAAACGCTAGCATCTCCATACCCAAATCTCCATCCAAATATCCATCACCATAAATCAAAAATTACTCCCAATGAACCACAAGTTGAATTGATTCCGTCAAAAGGATACATAGGCAACTTGGTATTCGTGCCAAGTGCAGCCACAAAACCAAACAAATCCACTTTCCCCCCAAATTGTGTTTTCTTCATAGTTTTAATGGTGTTTCTTTTTTATGTTCGTCATAAGGGATTGTAATTAAGAGATCTTGTTATCTTGAATGGGTCGAACTGAATTAACAAAAACCTTTATTCTCTTTGAATATTGGTGAAATTGTGTTGGGAGATCGTGTTCACATTTTCCCTCAACAACATTATTTCATTTGTCTTATCAGCACTACCACATGGAGAACGATATTGTTTTCCATTAGAGTTTATCTTCTTAAAGATTTTAGTTCACATCAACAAAGCTGTCTTTTGACTACACATCCAACAAGAAAATATCAAGTAAAATTACAGACAATTCATTTTTCAGATGAACTACACATAAGCCTAGCTTCCACGGTATGTTGTGAATGAGAAAGGTGACAGCAGCAGAGGAACATGAAAATGTTCCCATTTCTGTGACTCTCTGATTTCAAACACGATAGAAACATAAGGAAAGAACCCACCTGGGCAGTACTTACCTGTGTTAAAATTTATCCTGTATATGCCTGGGTTCACTGCATCAGCTATGCTCATCAACTGACCACTTCGACCATCATTATCTGTAGTTGACGACCCTTGAAACACCCAACCGCCTGCATCTGACTCACCAAACATGGGACGAGGTTGAGGACCCTTCCACATTTCCAAACATACCTCAATACCGGCACCTGGAGATCCTCGAGAAACATCCAAGACATGGGATGTGATGGGTGGACGGGTTCGAGGTGGAGCTTGAGATTTTTTTACAGATGAAGCATCGGAAGCAGCAGTTAGATGCGCTCCAATAACGCTCACACGATCTTCTAGGGTTCCAAAAAATCAATAATATTAATTTAGAAATTGTGATTCTT